TTTCTCCTTCAGCAAAGTCAGGACTACTTTGTTGTCCAAAGGTCCAACCACCGCAGGGCTGCTACAAGACATTCTGCTACCTGAGATTGACCCAGCCACCTCCATCCCTTCTCTGCTGCCTCCACCCCACCTTTTCCTCCTCCCTCCCTCCTTCTGTTGCCTCCTTTCAACCTGCTTGCCTACTCAATGTTCTTCTCTTCCTTTGCCTGCTCTCCGCTTCTCCGTTTGCTCAGCTGGCTGCAGAGACATGTTAATGAAACTCACTCTTGGTCTCAGTCTGATGAAGAGCTCATTGAATGAGGCAAAGAGTGCCTGTGCTGCCACAGCTTTAAAAATGCAGCTTAAATATACAATTTAAAAATTCTTTAAGCTTCAAAATGCAAGGAAATGCTAAACTCTATTTTAAAGCTGTGCATTTTAACACTCTGCAAATCAGTGGTGGCAAAATATGTGGTGGCATAAGCACTTGACGGATAACCTCACCCACAATGCCTTGCTCTGAGAAAGAACCTCTTCCTCAGAGCAAGGCCAGGAGCCCCTGCACAGTCCGTGGAAGCGGTTGTGACAGTCTGTGGAAGCAGTTGGATGGATGGGTAGGTAGGCATGGAGGTGGAAGAAGCAAGGAAAGAGTGGCAGACAGCAGTGGCAGCCACTGGCTAGTAGTGGCAGTGGGTGGGTGACCAGTTAATTGTGATGGGAGATGGCCAGGCCTATAGGCAGTGAGCTGGTTTGAGAGGTGCACAATCTGTCATTTCTCACTATCCATTGCCTGAGGATCACCTCATAGAAGGACCAGCCCTGCCCAACTGCCTGCCCAGCCTTTTTTCTGCATCTCACGTATTTAAATATTGTTATCTGACTTGTGTGTTGTTTTTTTACAAAATGTTCCTCCTTTAGTAGACTCCTCTTACCTAGGTGCCAGAATGTTTAAATTCACATGAGAGTTCAGATTAGAGAGCCTTCTACAGTGGTACCTTGGGTTAAGTACTTAATTGGTTCCAGAGGTCCGTTCTTAACTTGAAACTGTTCTTAACCTGAAGTACCGCTTTAGCTAATGGGGCCTCCTGCTGCTGCCGCACCACTGGAGCACAATTTCTGTTCTCATCCTGAAGCAAAGTTCTTAACCTGAGGTACTATTTCTGGGTTAGCGGAGTCTGTAACCTGAAGCGTATGCAACCTGAAGTGTATGTAACCCGAGGTACCACTGTAATTAGTTCAGATGGCTAAGACCCATTCTTGTAATGAGGGAAGGTTTCCACACAATAAAAAGTGTTTGGATGCAGCAAAGCTTTTATTGGCAAGTATGCAATGGGCTACACAGTGTTTTGAGTGCTAATGGTTCTCCATCAGAAGATTACTGATTTCAGGCATTTCCTTTCATAGTTTCCAAGTGTAATGAAAGAGTTTGCAAGACACATATCTTATGTAGCTCTTATTGTAGATCATGAAAGGAAACTATTGAAATAAACCCTGTTATATTTTTATAAAATAACTTACCCGTATTACCCTGTTTCGCTTTCTCTCATTTGAAAGCATAGTTGCTGTCACTCTTTGATGCCTGGCCTACAAATATTTCTGAAAGTGAAGGGAGAATTGATTAAAGTTTATTCATACAAACACTTTTGTCTTCACACAATAAATGGGCAAATTCCATCCACAATAAATTTTCTGCTTGTTAAGGGCAGAACAGCTCCTAAAATATGAACAATCCATATTTTTTTTAAAAAAAAACCATGAATGTATAACAGCACTGTTAGGGAGATTTAGAATTTCCAAGCCTTTATTTGCAATTCCTACTCCTTTAAAATTGAGAGATTGTCTAAGATAATAATACTAAAGGAAACCATAGTTACTGCAGAAAAGGATTTTTATTGTTTACATTGTAATTCCTGAACCCTTCAAAACACATATTGTCTTATGGCCACATTGATAATGGTTACAAACACACTTTGTAAAAGCTGGACATTTTAAAAGAAGTGTGTCAGCAGCAGAATCACATTCCAAGGGCTACTGTCTTGCCTTGGTGTGGTCCAGTAGCTGCTAGTGCTCATTGCGACTGTTGCAGCAGAAAGCTAGGGGCCCAGACAGGAGGTGGAACCAGAGCCAATGATAAACAGTGTCAACTAATTTTAGATTTGCCGCCATCTTATTTATTTATTGCATTTATATACCTCCTTTTTCTCCCACTCCTCATTTAATCTCCACTACAATGCTTTGAGTTCTATAAGGGCAACACTGAGACTTCAGAGGAAGAAGCTAACAGGCAGTGCCACCTCCTGAATTGGATGGGTGGTACTGGTTGAGGACAGATTGAAGTTGATGGGACAGTGCCCTATTTGCTGTAATGGATCAGCTGCCACTGGCCTGGTCCATTGTCCCTGAGCTAGAGCCAAAGAGGTTGCTGATTTTACTTCCACAGAACTCATGTAAAAACTGTGATTCAGTTTCATTGATAAACAAATCATGAACCTCTTGCCCCACAAATGTTGCTGGACTACAGCTCCCATCATCCTTGACCATCGGCCTTGGCTGGCTGGGCCTGTTAGGCATTCAAGTTTAACAACATCTGGAGAGCCACAACTTCCCCAGCTCTGCTCCTATACAGAATCATAATTCTAGGGTTCAGGATCATGACAACTGAGAACCATGATGGTTAAATAATTCTGAAACAGGCATAAGATTATAGTGCAAACAGACACAGGCCCAGATGAAGTTACAGTTGTGTTTTCAGTTTAAGGTTCACCATATAGAGATTCCTGTGGAGTCCTGTCAAATAAAGAAGGCATTTTATACATGACGCATTTGAACCCAGACTGTAATACTTATTAACTTGCTTATGACTACAGTCTCCAACTCTCCAGTTGTAGTAAATTGCAATTCCCTGAAGTTGGGGTGGGGTGGGGGAAGTAAGTCTTTAAGAAGTGGTGCCCAGAAAAATACTATAGGTAGTCAGGGGGCATGCCAAATCAGTTTCAGTTATCCATGTGTTTTATTAAGAACAGGAGTAGCACAACCAATTGTTAGTTTTGAAGCACTACAATCTTTCTACAGAATTCTTTCCTTATGCTTATGTTCCAAATAAGAATCTATAACTCTCATTGTGGTTTTGAAGAACCTCCAAGCCCCCTCCCCAAGTTCTTTCTTAAACACTTAAGTTTGACAAGCCCTCTTCCCCTTTTCTAACAGTTCACTGTGTAGGAACTCAAACCTATGCAACTTGTGACCCACTAAGCAGAATGTAACATTCCAGCCATGCATGGTGGTCCACCAGAGCCTTGATAAATCTCCTGGCTTTTACTCTCTGACTACCTGAGTGGATGAGCTGAAACATGTGGATGAGCATAGCTGGATCCAGTTCTCAAAATGTCCCATTTTTTGGGGGGAAACCTACTAATTTTACATGAGCACCCTGTTTTGTGTGGGATAAGCCAGCCTCATATAACTAATGTGCTTAACTCTATTTACTCCATGAAGGGGCTAAGACCATAGAGTAAACTGTTCTCCCTGGCTTAGCTAGGTCACATTGGGAGGGTTCCCAAATTCTTTATTCTCGCTCTTTTCCACCATGTAACCAACTAGTAAATATGTCTGGGCTGCTTGCTCCAAGCCTAGACTGTGTGGCTTTAGCAAGCCATCTTTGTGTTTCTGTGCAAATAATTTAGAACCATTTACCAATTTTGCTATTGTATGGAAAAGTACATGAATTTGTAAGTAAACTGTTTTTAATTTACCAAATGTATGGTCTCTTTCTGTGCTAAGGGGAAGTTGGGAGCTTTGGAAGAAACTTAGAAGGGGATATTTTCTGTTCTGACTTGCTCAAAACTTCTGCTCACAGAAGTCCCTCAAGTCTTGCTTTTCTCTCTGAATCTCTTCTCCTCAGAATCTCCTCAGACAAAAACATTCAGACCCTAAGGGCCAAAAATGTCATAAGTAAATAAATAAAATAGGAGCTCTAATTGCATATACATCATTGGTCCCATTTTACAGAAAAGGAACACTAGCGATGCCAAGAACAGCTAGCAAACTTAACAGCACAGTGGAAGAAGGCACTTTTTGATTTTTAAATGTTGTTTATCCTGATGTAATTTGTCAATGAATTAAGGACCTACCTCACAATTTGTTTTGAAGAAAAAATGGGCAGGTGGAGAACCATGTATGCCCCCTTGAAGGAAGATGGGATGTGAGTGTAATAATGAAAAAGGTTGTTATACACTGAAGTTGATTTTGTTTTATTTTTATCTTAAATCGGTTGTTTTTCTTGTTTAACTTCCTTACTTTTGAAATTTGCTTTGTGGCCTTAATATACATATTTAAGCTAAAGATAACAATGATGAATTCATTAAAACAAACATTTCTGTATGGCAACACAAAATGTTTTGACTTCTACTAAGTAGAAAGAAACCTTTTGCTGCTTTGGCATCTCCCCCATCCGCCTACTTCAAGCGGACTTTGCTTTTCTGGCCATATTCTGAGACATCAAATGTTTGTTACAGCATGTCTAGACATGTGTCTTCCCAATAACAATTTGAATGGTGTGGGTCAAATGGTACACACAGGATCTTATTTATCAGGAGATGGAGTGTGGGAAACGAGGTATCTATCCTTCAATGTCTCTTCCTCCCTCTGGCTAATGATACCACTGATTGGTGAGGGAATAAATATTTTCTTCAAGTAATTTCAGCAGAAATCTTTTGGACATGTAGTAGCATGTGGAAATGCCACTATTGTTTACTTATTTATTTCGTTTCTTGGCAAGCATTGCATTTCATTAGGTACCCCCTGACACTCACTGCCTATTCAGCAGACATACTTTCAGAATCTTTTCTTTCCGGAATCTTTCTTTTCTTTTCTTTGTGTAAAGGGTATGTACCGGCTTTGTGGAATCCCTGTAGCAAGTTGTAAATGATGTATGAACTGAAAAATCTTTGCCTTGTACACAGTAGGAATACAGAAAGTGCTGTGCAGTCACTGCTGTGCTATGCTTTTTTCTATATATACAGACACACAGGATTCATCTCATATTCATTCTGACAAGTCCTTCAAGTCCAGATGTCTTTGGATGGGATGGATGGCTTGTGTGTAAATTTAGCATTGTCCTGTTCTTCCATATTATATATGAAAGGTCACTTGCAGGAATCTCAAAAATCAGGCCAGGTAAGCTACTTCTTCATTACATATTATGTGCTCTAGGCTTATTTCCTTTCAATACCAGCTACTGAGACCACATTTTTATTTTGCATTCCCATTATTTTTATGTCCTTTCTAGTGTTCAGCTGAAATTTCTTGTAAGGCTTTTTTTTTCTGAGAAAATTTCTGAGGTTTCCCCTTTTCTCATCTCCCTTCGAAAAAGAAGGCCATATTTTTTTCCTGAATATTCTACACTTAAAAAAAGAAAAGAAGAAGTATGATTGCTGACATTTTATTAAACAATGCCCTGAAATGCTTGGTCTGGGGAATTGTAGATGCAAATTGGTGGCCAGGCTGCCAGCATAGTTTTTGCCACTGCCGCTTAACATCAGCATTGCAGCAGCAAAGCCAAACAAAATTACTTGGGGGGGGGGGAGAAAGAAAGAAAGAAAGAAAGAAAGAAAGAAAGAAAGAAAGAAAGAGAAAGAAACTATTTTACCGCCTTTGCTAATTGTGACAACTACCCCTGAAAAACACTTGGAGAATTTCTCTGATCCTTGGAGAAGTACATTGAAATGTTTTTCTCCAATTTCTCTGACCACAAATGGGGTACTGAGATGACATTGTTGAACGGCTCCAAGCAAAACACACAGCTGTCTTGCCACAATAAACCAGATAATCTGAAAGGTGCAACCTTTTTTCTTTCTTTTTTTAATTTAATCTCAGTCTGTGCAATTGGGTAGTGATTAAGAACTAGAAACAGCCCACATGCTAGGTGGCAGGAGGGGTGACTGTCTAGGACCAATTGAATTTTCACTCAAATGTTCATCAAACAAGCTATTGTTTTCACTCAGCTAAAAGAGGCCTTGAGAAAGTGCACCATCTTACTGTACTTTTTCCTGCATATTTTTCCTCATGCTGTGACCAATGTGTGGCTGCTGCCTAGGGCTATTTGCAGATCTACGATTCAGTTCTCATTTTTTTTATACACATCTGATGAATATCTGCTCCACGAAATTATTGCTCCAGACAGATCATCAGTGGGCTAACTTGGACTACTTTGTGCCGTGCAGAAGCTCCTTTGCTGCAAATAAGAAGCACACACAGTCTTTGACCTGTACTATGGCAACTTCTCTCTTAGGACCTATCTGCATTATAAGGCCATTTTACACAATCAGGGCTCTGCTGAAGAATTCTGGGAAGGATGCTGAGAGTTGATAGGAGACTCCTATTCCCCTTTCAGAGCTGTATTTCCCAGGCTTTCCTGGAAAGAGGGATTGACTGTTAAACCACGCTTGAGAGCTATAGCTCTGTGAGGGGAATAGGGGGCTCCTAACTGTGCACCCTTAAGAAGCTATAGTTCCTAGGATTCTTTGGAGGAGGCCATAACTATTTAAAGTGCCACGACACCGCTTTAAACGTGCACTGCAGATGGGGCCCTAATTAAGCTTACTTGCAAAGGCATTTCCATACTAGTAGTTCTCTCCAGCACAACCTATTTCAGAAAGATTACTTAAGGGGGAAAACAGCACAGTGAGGACTGAGTACGCTCAGTGGGCATTAAATACTTACTGATCATTGAGGGAGATAAATGGAAAGGTGCATCCTGGGAAGGGCATGGCTGCCTGGCCGGAGAACTCCTTCAAAATTTGCTGAGGAACTTACTTGTAAATGTTGGATTGAAAAGGGATGGCAAAACAAGACTTCTGTATTGTCCAATTCCAGTATGAAAATCACATATCCCCAAGATTCACATTATGGATATGGTTTACGAAAAAGCAGAAGACTCAGGAGTCAAGCCATTTGTTTATGTAGCCAGTATTGTATACTCTGACTGGCAACAGCTCTCCAGGGTCTCAGGAAAGTCTTCTCCCATCACCTGCTGCTTTTAGCTGGAGACACCAGGGATTGAGTTGTTGAACTTCTGCATGTGCTTTACCACTGAGCAGAAGTAACAAGTCTACCACTATTGGCTGAATACTAACTAGCTTTTCAAATTGGTTTAAGAAAAGCAGATAGCCACAGTTTTACAAGTGGCTGAGAGGCCTCCTGGAATCAATACAGAAATATTCCCCTTGCCTGTCTCTAAGGAAGTGGCAATGTGCAATTTATATCCCCACAAGGCATATTCAGTCTTCTTCATATTCTAAGGTAGGGTTTCCCAAACTTGGGTCTCCAGCTGCTTTTGGACAACAATTCCCACCATCCCTTGCCAGCAGGGGTGATGAGAACTGTAGTCCAAAAACAGCTAGAGACTCAAGTTTGGAAAACCCTGCTGTAAGGTGTATCAAAAGAGGTTTGTTGAGGTTTCCTTGAAAGAAAGTCTGCTCACACTGCAGTGGAGACTGTGTGCCTACACAGTACCCTTGGCACTTTATTTCACAACGTGATTGGAGTCTTCCTCCTTCCCTAAAAACACGATCAATGTGAAAAAACAAACACAATTTACTCTGTCACAGAGCACATTAGGCTACAGTGGTTGGTGCTGTAAAATAATTCCATGTGCCAGCCTTCAGTGATTACTTGCAGATATTTACTTTTAGCGCATGGCATATAGAACATTAAAAGCGTTTTGAAAATCCCACAGTTTTTCAACTTCTGAAGGATTATTAACTTCAAAGTCGGAAGAAATGTCGGCCTTCTATGTTTGGAAATGCCAGCAGCCTTTGCATATCCCCACCACAGTACCAAGCAACCCCCAGCAGAGAGGAGCGATTACTGCCTCGGTGGCGAGAGGATGGCTTTTGATCTCCTAACATATTGGAAATTACTTAAAGGTAAGCCATCTGCTAGCTGAGGAACAAAAATAGATTACATCACACCCTGCTAGAAAGATTGTGTTAAATCCTGTATATCAAGGCTTTTAATAATTCTATATTAAGTCAGCTAATAGGATTAGGGACACATTTTCCTTAGGCATTTTTCACCAACTATTAACAATAACAAAAAAAAAAAACCTCACCCACCCACACCCACCCCACTTTTGGTGATGATCTGTAAAATTCAAGAGTGTTTCACTGTGAATGAAAATAATTCTTTCAAGAATGAAACGCTTCTTTAGATCCCAATTGGTCTCCAAAAGGCACTTACCGTAGGAGAGCATTTTCTGGATGGATCCTGGGGAGTGAGAAGAGCAAAGTTCCCATTATTATTATGCTAGCATGAACCATTGATGATGGCAGGCTGCACTGACTTAGTGCAACTGTGAAAGCACTGAGCAGGCTATTTGAATCCATGCATTTGAGGGAATGACAACAGTGTTTTGTTTTATTCTATTGTGCCCCTGCACAAAAATAAATTGCTTCAAGGCAGCCCAGTTCATAGCTGCATAAACAATATCTCACATCCCTGCTCCCATACTCTCAAATTTTGCCAATAAATTCCTGGGTTTCTGCCATTTATATAAGACCTTCAGGAGACCACTGCATAGTAAACAGTCTGGAATACTGGTGTCACTGGTAAAAAGGGAGGGACAAACATCCGCAGTACTGCTGTAGCCAACTGTGAAGGTTGGTGGTGGTTCAAAGGGCCGGGGAAAATAGTGGCTTTTGTCTTTTGTCCCAAGAGCCATAAGCACAAGGAAACTCAAGGAAGAGGACTTTCCTTTCCCCTCCTCTTTCTACTGATCCTTGTGTGCACCAAAAAGTCTGTCTGGAGGCTCAAAAGAGCCTCCTTGACATTGTGAGATGATGCATGGTGTGGACTGGGGCACTGGGTTATCAGGGGAGGGCAAATTGACCAAAATCGGACAGACACCCCTTTGCTGAGCAGGGCTTATGCACCTGCAAGGTGCCCTCACCTGATTTTGGTTAATTTCTCTTTCCTTCAGCAACCTCTCATTGCTTCATGCCACACTGTTCAGAAGCTCTTCAGGGGACAGAATTGGCTTTAATGGGAGAGAGGAGGAAGGGATTGGAAGCCCTCTTTGGTGAGTATCCTTCTACTTGTGGTTCTCAAGACTTGTCCACTGACTGACCACTGTAAACAAGAGGCCCTTTGATAAGATCTAGCAAGGCTCTTCTGATTATCTTGTCTCAATTCCCAAAGGGCATGTATGAGATGGAGGTAGATAATTTAACAAGCATGTTTTTTAGTAAGTGTCTGTTCTATCCTAACATCGCTTCAGATGTGCTCCAAACTCTTACTTGGAATGAAATCATCTAACTATTTCAGTCATAATGGATCAAACAAATGCCTTCAGTGTGTTTGGGAAAACAACCGGGTTGTTCTAGAGTTTATCATGCCAGTATTCTTGCAGACACCACAAAATACCAACAAAGGAACCTTTACCCCCTGTATTAGTGCTGTATGTGTTACATAGTTCCAAGACAGATATCTGTTAGATTTGCTCTTATCCCGTCTGCTAGTTTAGAGTGATTCTTTTTCACCCACGCTTGAGACAAAACAGCATACAAAGCTCCCAAGCTCCCATGACTTTTGACCTCACAGGTCTTTGTTCAAGCAACTCATCTTTACACAATGCCCCCCAAGCATGCATAGGACACTAGGAGCAGTGTACCAGAAATCCATGGCAGCCCTGAGTCACAGTGCCACAAGCTAAGATGATGTGACATGTATTTCCATATCAAAACAGCAGAAACCTTTCTTTCCCCTCTTCACCGATGCATAACATCCCAAAAGGGAAGAACGGCCTTCAGCTAACACAGATCAATTTTCTTTCAGCTTCAATCACCATTTAATTACTGTTGACTTCTTTAACCTTCCCCCCCACTTCCTTTATAGATTAGCTTCCTTTATATTCTAATGCCATTTACTTTTTCCTGTAACTTAATCAAACTTGAAATGATATGATAAAAAAAACCCATATTTCCCTTCTTTCTTCCTGTTCTTTGTGTTCGAGTTACTTCAAAATGCAGATTATTTCTTGGAGGAGAAAAATATTTTTTAATGAACCACCTTTTAACTTTATCAACCTACAGTATCTACACATCATTTCCTTTAACTGAGTAATTGCTTAGATGACTTGATGGTCGGGTGGATGAAAGTGCTAGAATTTCACCTTTGGGCTTTCTGGCTGAAATAGTAGTGTTACCAAAGTGCTTTCTCTCTCTGTGTGTGGTGAATTATCATAACCCACCTCAGTCTTCAATAAACAACACATGTTTCATTGCCTGATTAAATTCTTCCAAATTGGTATCTGTCCTGTAGACAAGACTTTATGTTAAAGAGCACAAAACATATATGTAGATTTGTTATATGTGCACACACACACACACACATCAACTTGGTAGGGATAGCAGTTAATAAAATGATACCGCCCCCCCCCAAAGTGTTGCAAGCACCACAAAGCTAATACGAAGAGACCTTTTGGAGATTTCAGTTCTGAAAGAGAAAGATGTGATGTGTTACAGCTTTAACAGTATGAAAAATTATTTTTATTAGTAAATGTATTTATATCCTTCCTTTCTCCCAAATTGGGAGGAGTTACTGAGCTGAATGAGTGTTGGCCTGTTGGGGTACTAATGAGCTATCAATCTACTGAGCTATCAAACAAAAAGAAAAACTGTCTTACACATTTGATGTGTAATCGTGAAGTAGCTGTTCAAAATCTAGGCCAAGACTGATCAAGGGCTCTTATGACATAATCATGGAATGTCAACACTTGTGGTATGTTAGAGCTAAATGTTGGCATGATCAGCTTCATGACCAGCATCGCTGCGCAAATGCCACACCCCTTCAGTGGGCCACTATTAACTTCAAGCCTTTGGACATCTTCCCTTTGCTATTTCTGCGCGTTAACCTGCTCCCTCCAAGCATGCAAGCAAATGACTAGTGAGGAAATGGAGTAGCATTCATTATCTGCCTGACTCTCTCCCTGTAGGCCAGAGTCAGCTAACTTGTGGCCCTCCAGTTAACCTATGGCCCTCTGGGCCTAATAATCACAACCACCTAGCACAGGTGTCACTAATATTGGCCCTCAAATGTTGACTCCAACGCCCATCATCCCTGAGCATTGGTCATGCTACCTAATGGTAATAGGTGTCCAAGAGCATTGGGTGGACGGCGTGACAATAACATAGGTTTCCCATCCCTGTCATATAGTCTTGTCTCACAAGAGCAAGACTCTGTTGTATTCTTCTTTGTGACTTTGTATAGGATCAAGGTACCAATTATCAGGCCGAAGTACTTATTGTTATATGTTATATTAGCATTTTACCCATCTGGGAAAGATACTTTGAAATGTACTGTGAGCTTTTATGTCACAGAACTGTTGGAGAGCTCCAAAAATATTTTACCAGGCAAGTCCGACTACAGAGCTCAGTTCTGTAGACTGGCTTATCCTGCAGGGTCTCATGCTATAACTTGCCCACTTGAAGAAGATGGAATGCAACCATACTTTGGGAAGTGAGTCAGAACTAGCTGGCTGACTCTGCCCCACTTACCTGTCCCCTAGTTTTCTCAGGATGTTCCTGCAGGCTTCTGTAATACTTAGCCCAGAAGTTCATCAGTTAAGACAGTAAAAGCACATTATTAAAATGCAATTAATCAAAAGTCCAAATAACAATTTACCTCATATCACTCAAATATGAATATAACTTCAGAAAAATAAAACCAGAAGGAGTCTGCTTTATTTTTGCTTAGTATATTGATAGAATAATGTTAGTAATATTTATACCAGGGTTACTTAACCCTTTGGGGCCTGTAGCTTCGTTTGGAAATTTGATAAGTTTTGTGGGCAGCATCACAAAACTGCTGCCCTGGGAGCCTAGCTAGTAATAAAGGATAAATAATTTGCCCCAAGGAACTGAGTAAAAGACAGAGGTTGGACCCGAGCCCCTAATGCCAAATATTTGCCCTCACAATGTACAACAAAATACCCATTTCACAGATGAAATTGAGAATGCAAACTGATGAAGTTCATGCCCAAGATGGTTACATTCACCAACCCATTGCTCACTTTCCGCTGCTTTCCCCAATTTCCTGGGTATTGGTGGAGTTTTCCTCTCTTTTCCTCATTTTCCATCCAGGTGGCTGCAGATTCCTCTTTCTCCAGTTTTTGCCTTCTGCTGCTCTCCTCTGGACCAAAGTGGGGCCCAGAGGCATTCTGGGAAATTACAGAAGATAGGTTGCTGGAGGCAAACTCTTCACTTTAAACTAATCTCTACTCAGTAAAAAAACATTAAAAATACCGTAATTTAAAGAAAAACTGATAGGGGCCAAGGGCCTTGTGGGTTCATGAGAGGTGACTGGATTATGTGGTGTTCATGGGAACTGTGTTGGTGACTTATTTATATGAATGTACAAAGCTGTCTTATAGAGCAGGAGTCAGCAAACTTACCACGCCTCGGGCTGATGTCTCCAGCGCCGATCGCACAGCAGGCCGGAGGACGGGGGAGCGCGTGCCCATACGCGTGCGCACACACTATTTCCGGGTCGGAGAAGCACTGGAAATAGCTTGTGCGCATGTGCATGGGCCTCCTCTGACCTGGATGTGCACTGGAAATAATGCGTGTGCATGTGCAAATAACGCTTGTGCATGCGCACAAGCTATTTCCAGTGCTCCTCAGACCCGAATGTGGGAAGCCGTGCAGCGCAGCGCTGGTAAGAGCAGGCGGTGGCAGCGGGCGGCGGGGGTCGCCATGGGCTGGATAAACAAGTCCGTTGGGCCTTATCCGGCCCGCAGGCCTTAGTTTGGGGACCCCTGTTATAGACTGTCAATCCATCTCAACAAGTAGATCCACCCAGCCAAATACTGCCTTGAATGGCAATTGCTCTCAAAGGCCTCATTTCCTGCCCTTAATACGTGACATCCTTT